ATATAAAAGCATCCTCAGGTAGTGAAGATTCATGTTTGGTCAAATCATGATCCCCAGTGGGAGAGTAGAGCCATAAAGGGCGATCAAAGTTTTACATGGAAATATGAGTATAGGAAAATATCATTAAAAATTTTCTTCTCGAGAAATGTAAAACCATAATTAATCATTAATATGAAACCATCGTCGGGTATTGTAAATTCAAATCTGATGAAATTGTGACCCCCACCTGGGGAGGGAGGGGTCTTAAGATATACATAGGAATATATGGGATAGATCTTTAAAAATCTTCTTCTTAAGAGGAGCAAAGCCATGATTAGTCACATAAACAAAGAAGCATCCTCAGGTAGTGTATATTCAAGTTTGTTTACAACGTGACCCCTAGGGGTAGGGTGGGGCCACAATAGAAGACAAAAATTTATAGGAACAAATCATAATTTTTTTTTCAAGATTTGATTAATCAATAAATATGGAAGCATCCTCAGTTGGTGTTGATTCAAGTTGTTCAGATCATGGCACCCCCTCCCTAACCCCACCTCACCCCCACCGATGGGAGGGGCTTAGGTTGGGATCACTTACATATTTAAACTTTTAATATGTAAATCCTGAACTAATTTCTGCTTTTTCATAACTAATGTGCTTGGAGGATCGATGTGAGCCAAGGGCCTTTTGTTTGCATGTTAATATGAGAGAGAAGAAGAAGGAACGGTTTGGCTCTTTGTGCCCTAAAAATTAAATTATTTCAAAAAGTTATAGAATTGGCTTAATAGTAGTTGAGTATATGAATGTTAAAATCATGAAGAAACACAGCATGAAGGAGGACCATTCTGGATATATGACGTCATAATTTGGTACATTTGTAAGTTTTTAACAGAAAAAGCCTCAAAATGACTAATTTCTGGGGTTATTTTCCTCAAGAAAAAAGTGTCCAAAGCCTTCGCGCACTGCAATTTTCGGATATGTTGTGTAAAATCTTTTGAAAAATCATGTTTCGGAAAATCTTTGTGGACGATGCATGTGCCCTATATTATCTGAGAGAACATTTCACTGAAAATTGATATGTCCTCTGCAACTTTTTACAAAAATACGGGGAAATGCAAAAGTTTATGCCTTCATAATTAGCCTTTAGGAAGATATATGAGAAATAAAATTGAATGTTCTTACTGCAAGGAATTTCAACGACTCAGAAAACATGAATTTTAATTTCTTACATGACTTTCATATTATTGAAAAATACAGGGCCAGATTTGTGTTGAAACCGTACAATTTTCTTTCGCACTTCGTAACAAAAAACAAGGATATCCAAAAAAAGTTACACTTTCAGAACCATTCTTTGGTAACCATTTGATTTTAAAATTCATTGGATTTTTATACATTTTGAGTTAAAACAAGTATTTCACAGCTTTTCATATATATGACATTACACAATAATGCATCATTACACCATAAAGATTATTTTGTCTGTATGCTCATCAGATTTCGTAAAAAATGGCAAAAAGTACAAAATATTCAAATACATGGAATTTGTTCAGCCTTCTCTTTTATAAATGTAAAAATATTTACCTGACAAGCATATAAGTCAAGCAATCATGTTACAAAAAAAAATGTGAAGATAACGAAAAGTGATCGATCTCATAAAAATTACAAACAATACAAATCTATGAACAGGGGAACCCGGACGCCTTGAAATTCCATGGTAAGATTTGGCGCCTATCAGGAGTAGGCATCCCCTGTTGACCGCTAAAAATATCTAAAATGAAAAGGGTGTAAAGATAATAATGAAAAAAGATATAATGTGACCTTGGGAATCGGATTAGTGTTGTCAAAACGGGAGACATTTAGTATCTGGTTAACCGCTCATCTCGATCGAGTACCCGGTTACTCGAAAAGTTTTTTTTAAGAACACTGAACATCGTTTTTTATAAGATACATGTTTTGATTATATATATATATATATATATATATATATATATATATATATATATATATATATATATATATATATATATATATATATATATAGGTACAAATTTAAAAAAATGAAAACGTTTAGTAAAGCTTTAGCGCTTTCATTTTCAATCTTCAGAAGCTTTACAATAGGTAACCTATTGTAAAGCTTCTGAAGATTGAAAATGAAAGCGCTAAAGCTTTACTAAACGTTTTCATTTTTTTAAATTTGTACCTATAATTTTCCGAGCACTGTGGATTTATATATAATTTCAATGTGTGTGTATATATATATATATATATATATATATATATATATATATATATATATATATATATATATATATATATATATATATATATATATATATATATATATATATATATATATATTTATCTTCTATAACGTTTGTTGAATCGTTATAATAATTTTATTTGAAAACAATTTGATGCATGCGTTCATTATATTCAAAAGGTAAAATTGTGATAAAACATGGTCAAAATAGAGTAAACATATGAAATTAAAAGGCTTTTCTTCTTCTTCAATCGTCATTTCGACACAAACAAAACATTCCGAAAAAAAGCCTCAGTTTCCATGTCCCGGGGAAGTTTTCTTTCAAAGTGAAAAATAATCCTTTTTCGTAATATAAGCAGAACATTACTTGCTAAATTTTACTGATAATGAATTTTAATGAAATTCCTTTTTAAATAATTTAATTCCTTTATTTTTACAGTTGCAAATGTTTTCTTTTATATAACACTATTAAAAGCAACGCGTATCTATATATGAACACGGGTTCCTCGCGTCATAAACGTTCGCCGTAATTTCTCAGTGACGACATAAAGGGTCGACGCGCCATCAATGGATCAAATACGTGCCGTTGAGTTTAAAAAATAAAACATTTTACGCGGTAAAGATTATAATCAGGAAAATATAAAATATGAACAAGTCATAAATGTAAATATAAATAATAATGAAGGGCTTTATGGTAAATTTGATCTCGTGACCAACCCGTATTTATATCCCGATAGATGTTTAAAAATGATACCTTATTTCCTAAATATCTACATTTCCTAATAAACAGCTGGTAAAATGATACTGGCGTTAACATATGTATGATATGTTTGCGAGAATTTGGTCTTCATAAATCGATCTACTGAGGGGCAGATACAAAAAAGATCATGATAATTTTGCAGAATATACTGTAAATATAACCATATTAATGTTGATTTTTTATTCAATAAAAATTAAAGTATGTCAGGGTTGAAAAATTTAGTGTAATTAATATGTCTAAATTTTAACGTTCTGCTATGGAGAGGCCGCGAATAACAGTTTTTAAAATCTTAGCAAATTTCAACGTAACTTTCGGTTATTGCAGTTGCATATGTAAGGCAGTCGTTTTTCCAGAGATTATCCGAATGTGACTTACATTCATTCCGAGCACGTACTATATCACTACCTTAATATGAGAATACATGGACGGGTCCAAGGGCAGCCATTTTCATAATTTTAAATTCCATTTAACTCTGAATTTATCACTTTGTTCAAACTAGCTGAATTCAATTTGAATTCAATTCAATTTGGTTCGTTTCAAAAGAAAAAGTGGTCTATAACTCGAACCTAGTATAACAGATAAAGTTATTTACGTTTTTGAACATCTTGTATAATGGCCTAGACTGATGCAAAATTCATTCTTACTGAAATATATTTTCATAAGATATGCTGTTACATTCCTAGGCACCTGATCCTACCTCGGGAATTTTCGGTTGTACGTGTTTTATGCCTTGTTCACAAATCTGTATGTTTGTAGGTTTTTTAAAGATCGACCACTGTTTGTTTTGTTTACATTTTCATTCACGCAAAACCTTTTTATGGCCTCTTCACATACATTCATCATAGCATGTACTATTTCTCGTTTTTAAGGCATATTTTCGGTTCAATTGAAGGCTATTCACTTAATCTACATGCCTTTACACACAGAATAAAAAATAGTGCTGTAAAAAATATAAACATCATTGTCAATAAATCTGATATCAGTTGAGTCCCTGCTGTCAGAATTCAATGAACATTGTTTAGTATAGATTTAAGCATTACTCTTTATATTTTGGACGTGGGATACACAACATTAGTTGTTTAACGTTCGCTTATGCAAAATTCTAACTGGAATCCTTGACAGCATCAGTTTTCACATGTCATGCAAAACTCGAGACCACTATTCTTATAAAAAAATTGTGCTTTGTTCTGCTATGCATGCACTATACCTAGATTGTGGTCAGGGTTTGAAACATGGTGCACTAGCTGGAGGCGAGTGCACCATGTTTCAAACCCTGACTGCTATTTAGGCATAGTGCATGCAAGACAAACCACTATTGTTATTATTATGCTGACTGTTGTATAAAACGACAATATTTTCTACATTTCCAATGTTTCATCACCTCTTACAAACATGTTAGTACACCCCTTTTATGTCACGTTGTGCTACATGCATGTCATTTTTTTAGTGTTTCATGCAATAAGGTATAATGTACAGATAAATTCAAAGAATTTGAGTTGAGTGAAGGGAAAAAAGTTGCAAGAAGCTATTTTAGAAAAATTATTTTGTTTATTTTTTTTTCTTAAGGTGTTAAATATTTGAAATTAAGTTTATATACTGAAGGGGAAAAACGCAGGGTAACATAATATGCGAAAAGTTTTTGACTGTATAACAGAAAATTATGAAAATTGGTCAGAGGCATATCTTGGTTACTGTGCATTAAAATCAGTGTTCAGAACTAGTCAACCGTGAAATGTATGACGTCACATAAGGAAAGTGGTAAGAAGCCGAAAAGACGTGCATATCGATGACGACATGTTTTTCAACACATTTCGTAGTACCATTTGCTGCACTTAAGTTATACACATTGTTTAGATATTTACAGTCGATTTGCATTTCTTGAAATCAAGGTACGGTTGACGGAAGTACCATGGGGTCTAACTATTGCATTGCCTAAGTAAAGATAAAGGCAACTACAGGTTTCTGTGCAGTTTGTTGTGAATTTTTCCACAATAGAACGTCTTACCCGTCCTCAGAGAGGGCGTAGAAAGGTTTCCAACCAACCTTGACGATGACGTTGACGTTTAACAGCACCACGTCAAGATTGGGCAATTCATCCTGCCACCTGTATAATCACCATCACATTACCCTAAAACTGTTATCAATACAGCAGGCTATCATCCCAAAACTAAAGAAAATCGATTGCGCCATTTTGGTTTGTGAGCTCGTCAACTTTATGTTAGTGTTCCTCTAACTCGCGCATGCGCGACGTTTGCCCATTTTTTGGTTCATGTTAACCCCCTCCCAATGCTGGCAGGGCTTGTCAAGATTTTCTCACAAACAATCACATTTATCCACTTGACTGGTTTCCGTCAAGTCCATCTTTTTCGCATCAATGGGACTACGTGGACGATAGGGTTTAAAACTTGCAAGCTGGTCCCAATCAATTAAGGGCTGCCTTCTCAGAGGGGGGGGGGGGGGGTACCGTCATATGAGTTTCAATAACTCATGAATTATTGGGGAAAATCAAATGAGATTTTGGTTACATTTTTATTAAAGATGATTTTAAATGTTAGATAGGAAAACTAGAAAATACGTCTGAAATATATAATCTTATTTCACCTAAAAAGTTTACCCTGCGTTTCTTTTTTCCTTTCAGTATATATATATTAAAATACATAGTCATAAATAATGGCGTCTGTGGCTAAATCGGTAGCACATCGGACTGACAGTCTAGGGGTCGTAAGTTCGATCCTCTGCGTGAGTGATGTCCGATTTTAGAAAATGAAGTCGTGCACTTCTTCGCTATAGTGTATATAAATCCTTAGAACACCATGCGAAAATAGTTGGGTATTGATTATATAGAGACAAACTGATAGGAAGCCTAATAATATGGCACCATCACTACCCAGGAGACCGTATCATTATCAATCTCACACATTTATAATTTATACAAGATATGTTTTGACATTGCCCCTGACAAACACCCTACAAAGGGACACTTTCTCACTGCAGGAGCACAGTCCGCACAGCAGGTTATGTGACCACACGGCAGGAAGACAATTGAGGCCTTCTTCTCCATACAAACCCTACACATCAAACTCGAATCTTCACGTTTAAGAGACTCTAAATCTGTAAGCGAAAGATAAAACAAGTGTAGTTCACATTGATAAGCCTTGCATTAGTTCCTTTTGCAGCAATTTATTTTTAAATAAGCGTAACTTTTCTTAATCTTTAGCATAGAATCATCTATATTTTTAAAAATTAATATATGCACATACTACGTGTATTTAAATTCTCATGTAACAGTTGTTCGATTTTTTAAAATAATTTAAATGATTTCAATTATCTATGTAGATATACAGTGAAAAGTGTCTAATTCGACACTTGTGCAATTGTTTTCACCTTTATTCCGACCTGTATGTCATTCCCATTTTACTAGTTTCTTATGGTCCTAACATTGTGCATAATGACCTTGTTAGCAAATATAGCATGTCATTAGATCGTACGTTGGCTGACGAGTTTCATACCAAATTTTAGGACTTTGTTTTATACTCAATTTGACTGAGAAATGTTCCTTCTATCTTTACATAGGGCTCACGCTGGTGTGACCGGTCAACAAGGGGTGCTTACTCCTGGTAGACACCTGATCCCAACTCTGGAATTTTCAGGGGTCCGTGTTTTATGCCCTCTTTACATATTTCATTGTTTATTGATTTTTTAAGATCGATCAGTGTTCATTAGCTTCACCTTTTTCATGTATAAAGAGCAATACTGGGACGTGTGGCGGTTCATTTTGTTACCCCATACATAATGTTGCGGCAAACACATTGCACCTGTTATTTCAAAATCTCTATGTAGAAAGGTAGAGATGAAGGCATAAATGGATTATTTTTAAAATTTCATTTGTAGATCAAAGCAACCAATGAATAATATCAAACTCTCCCTAAATAAATATTTAACTATGTAACAATCATCTCTCTCCATTATTAAGTTACATTATGTTTTTTTTCAAAAATACATTTATTGGTAAATAACATGAAAGAATAGTTGTTATTGCTTTTCGTAATTTTGTTTCCAATGTAACATATGTATTATATATTATATACATTCAACTTTTGCAAAAAATCATTGACACTTCTCTGCATTGATGCAAATGGGAAAATGTTCATAATAAGACTTTAAACATGTTCGGAAGGTATTTTTTATACTTAAGAATGTGTTACTATGATACCATGATACATAGCAACACATTTTTGCCTTAAATAAGTTTATAGTATCACATAATTTTATTGTTCAAAAAAATCCTTTGGCGTCATCTCTATATTTTTTTAAAGCCATTGATTGGATTGTTTACATCAGTAATGACATATGCAACGGTACGTGCTCAATTGTAGGACTTAATGCGAATAAATATGAAAACTTACCTCTGCTCGATATCGACTGTTCAAGGAAACCCGTCTCCACTCTTTGTAAGCGTTCAGGGGACGATGATTTTTGGTTATCACCTAGTTCGAAAATAACTTCGAGAATTTCCTGTGTAGAAACTCTGTGTTTATCTACCAAAAAACAAGAATGAAACATTGAATGAAAAATTTATGAAAATTCTTAAGTGAAATTTTGAAACATAGAAAATTCATTGAGTATTTAAGAAATTCCGACATTGAACTCAGCATGTTTTGAAGACTTTTTAGGTAATATACAGTACAATTTTCATAAAATAAAGTATGAAAAAAGTTGATAATATATCTGTTTTGAGGTAGTAAAGAGGAAATACTCTCGTTATATAAAATTTTATAAATATTTACAAATAGGCTAACATTGCAAAAAAAAGAACTTTGATGATTGGATTTCTTGGGTATTCCTAATCGTGTTAATAATATTATTACCTCTGCTGATGATACTTCTGGCTGCCTTTATATTCTCGTCGCTGTATCCCATTTCTTTAATGCTTTTTGCAACGGTTGATTTCATAATCTCTTCTTTAGAATTCCTTTCATCATTTGAATCTGTACCAAATAATTAAATCTTGCTTATGACAAATGTACTTTATTTACTCGCCCATAAATAAGGAAGTTACTTATTGGTTACAAACCTGCATAGAATACAGTAAAATACATGTACAGAAAATGTCGACCTCTTAACGACCAATGGTTGCAGGTTTCTTGTTTATTTTTAAATTTTACGCAATAATGACGTTCTCCTAAATATTAAGTCAAGAAAGATTAATCTTTGTTGGATTGTTTATGCTCATTTAATGTTTTTGCAATGTTAAATGATTTTTTTCTTTCTGATGAGCATACGTATTGTGTAAAATGCATACTTTTTCCCTCTGGCTTTCACATTTTGAAAAATAATCTACTTTTTCCTGTGTACATATGGGCTTCCAAATGTGTAAAATCTCTTTTTTTTTTCCCGTGTGATCTATAAACTTCCATTTGGTGTTATCTTATCAACTCTGTTAAGGAACGCAATGGGAAAGGTGATCTTTATCCTTTGTTAATTTGCATCACATTTAATAAACACTGTAATAATAGTAAGTATAAAATTGTAGGAATTGTCATATATTACCAATAATAAATAGGTTTGTATCGCACTTAGTGCCAGTTACATCGGTCATATTAGCTGTGTGGCACGTAACTGGTGTGAAAATAGAATTCTTATGCTGAATGTAGAAAATGCCGCTAGTGCGAGGGCATCCGGTTGTTTTTTGGCCATAAAAATTTATAAGTATTAAAAGAGGTTTACATCCTTTACCTGTAAAGTGTTGAGAGCTAGTTCGACCTGTAAATTTGTTGAAAATATTGTCAACAATGCGTGAAAATAGAAAAAAATCCATTTCGCCTCTACATCGTTGATTCAAGAATACATTCTTCAGACCAGAATCAACTCTCTCAGCACTTTATAAAAAACAAATACATATTGTAATTCATATTCCGAATTAAAATTAAACAGTCTAGTCCATGCCCTTGAATTTTTTAGGTTTTTCGGGAATATCCTTCTAGTATTAGCGATTTTCTTTACATTCTATGATGGTGTGCAGCTCTATAAGGCCTTAAAGAATGAAAACATATATAAATTATTGTTCTTAAGAAATGTTTAGTTTCCAGTTTCATTGATCAGATTTGAAGTATGACGATGAATTATTACTTTTTTGAATGAATGTATGGAGATACCGAACAGTATTCAAGCTAAAAAGTCCATTAAAAAATAAAAAAAAATTGGAGCAGAGCGAACACGGACCTCTAAAACAGAGGTGGGATTAAGTGCCATGGAGGAGTGAGTTCGAGCACCCCCTGCCGACCGGTCACACCCGCCGTGTGCTCCTTGTCTTGATCGATAAATAATGGAAAAATTCGTCGACAATTCAGTGTGTAAATAATGGCATAACAATTAGTATGAAACAGCATTTGACTTAATGATAAATTGTATTTGCTGACAAGGTCATTGAATCGACCATAGACCTTACGAAATGATGACGTTAAACGAGACTGCTTATATGTGTATATATGATATACACCCCAGATGCAGGTGAAGAAGGTATATTGCTGCATAAGTAATGGAAGGTGACGATTAAAAAGTCATGTGTGTACATATGGGCTTCCATATATTGTGAATAATATCCTTCTACCCTGCGTACGGGCGGGCTACTATGTACATATTAGCTTTCAAATAATATAAAAAACCAGTTTCTCTGTTTTGTATGCCCATTTATATAACTTACCTGCATCTTATAAAAAAAATGCTTAAAGGTATTCCATCCTTACAGCAACAGATTTAATGAAATTGAATACATAACAGACATTTACGGGTTGAATACTCTGTCGACTCGATATATTCCGATGAGGTTGAAATAAGAGATACCACAGATTCTGACACGTCTGTTTCATATTTGGATATTTACATGAAAAAGACATTAATGGTAACCTAACAACAAAGCTTGACACATCTGTTTCATATTTGGATATTTTACTTGAAAAAGACGTTAATGGTAATCAAACAACCAAGCTTTATGATAAACGTGATGACTTTAAGTTTTCAATCGTCAACTTCCCTTACATATGCAGCAATATACCTTCATCACCTGCACACGGGGTATATATCTCTCAGTTGATTCGATACTCAAGAGCATGCTCTACGTATGTAAAATTTCTAAAACGAGGTAAATTACTGACAAAAAAGTTGATGAAACAAGAATATCAGCTGTCTCGTTTAAAGTCATCATTTCGTAAGTTCTATGGTCGATACAATGACCTTGTCAGCAAATACAATTTATCATTGAGTCAAATGCTGACTGACGTTTTTCATACTAATTGTTAGGCCATTATTTACACACTGAATTGTCAGCGGATTTTTTCGTTATTTCCCGATCATGACAAGGAGCACACGGCGGGTGTGACCGGTCGGCAGGGGATGCTCACTCCTCCAAGGCACCTGATCCCACCTCTGATGTTTGGAGGTCCGTGTTTGCTCTGCTCCTATTTTGTATTGTATAATGGACTTTTGAGCTTGAATACTGTTCGTTATCTCCATATATTTCATGATAAACGTGATGACTTCAACTTTTCAATCGTCAAATTCCCTTTCCTATGTAGGAATACCCCCTCATCACCAGCATATGGGGTTTATGTCTCTCAGTTGATTCGATACGCAAGAACATGCTCTACGTATGAACAGTTTCTTAGACGAGACAGGTTCTTGACAGACAGATTGATGAAACAAGGATATCAACAGTCTCGTTTGAAGTCACCATCTTGCAAGTTTTACATGTACGGTTGATACAATGACCTTGTCAGAACATACAACCTATAAATGAGTCAAATCCTGACTGATGTATTTCTTACTAATTGTTAGGCCATTATTTATACAATGAACTGTCTACGGATTTTTCCGGGATTTTTTTCTCGATCATGACAAAGAGCACACGCAGGTGTGACAGGTCGGCAAGGGATGCTCACTCCTCCATGGCATCTGATCCCATGCACCTGTTTAATTTTGAGGTCCGTGTTTGCTCTGCTCCAACTTTGTATCGTTTCATTGGACTTTCGAGATTAAATATTGTTCGTTATCTTCATATCTCATTACATTTAGACATTTATTCCAACTTATTACTATTAGCATGTAAGAATGGGATGTATTTTAATTTATGACTTTGAATTTTGGTATCTCCCTCTGTTTCAAATTGAGAAAAAAAATCAATTTTAACAAACTTACCCGGTAAAAAAAATCGTGTTCATTGGATATTCTATTTAGAATGTTTTAATGCATCTTTACTTCACAGTATTTATTCATATTCTTATTATTTGAATTTTTATTTTTGAAAATTCGCTTTTTCCCATAGACATCAATGCAGTCTTTTTTAATTAATTAGTGCTTAGTTAATTACTTTTTTTAAACTTTCTCCTGGTTAATCCTTTTCTACTGTAAAATGCTTTAAATTGATGTTATGCAATTAGTATAATGTACGTGATGAACATTTAAGGATAAAGAATTTGGTCTTATTAGGGATGGAAAACCTTAAATCTGTAACTTACCGGCCTCTTTTTCCTGTGTAGCATCAGCAGCATTTACGTCGTGTGACTTACCATTCACCTGTGGTTCTGAATTTTCTTCCTGAGAGCAAAAAATGTATTCAAATTATATTATACTAATAAATGTGAAATATCTCTGCATACATGTATCTTATTCTCCATTCCCTTATTCATAACGAAATATATACGAGTTAAGTAAGTTAAAATAAATGAGACACAATTCTTCAAACATATTTTCATCTCTTAGACAAAGGCACTAGAATTTAACAATTTCCATTTAAAAACATCTTCCATCAAAATATGTGTTGTTTTTGCATTGAAGCAAATATAACTGATATATATTTATTTGAGCTACCTTTCCAAACATTATGCGGTACAAAATCCGTTGATAGATTTAGAAACAAAACACTGAATACTATATCTTTAAAGAATGCGTTAACAACATCATCAATATAATAATTGATTGATTAAATATTGTTTTATGTTCCGTTCGAGAATTTTTCACCCATATAGAGACGACGCCATATACCGGTGAAAGGCTTCAAATTTAGACTATGCTCGGCACCTAGGACCATTGAGCAGAGAGGGATTTTTGTCGTGCCAAAACCAGCCGTGACACGGGGCCTCGGCTTTTAAGATCTCATTCGAGAAACCCAAAACTTTCACTTAAAAGTGCCTAGTGCTTATTGAAGGAAGTTGCTACCTATTTTTTTCGACTTAGGGTACGCGCGTCTGGGGTTGGAACCCACGACTTAACGATCACGTTGCAAGCGCTTTACCGACAGAGCTACCATGACGATTGAAAACTGTAAAAAAAAAAAAAAAAAAAAAAAAAAAAAAAAAGAATGATGCATTTCTACATCATTGGTGCTCTATCAGGACGCTGAATTTGATAGAGACATACAGAGGGATTGTAAGAGAATACACATTGTTGACAAGAACTCACCATTTCTTTATCTCTGTGATAAAATGCATCGATAAATTGCTGTCCACGTTCTTGTCTCACGAACGTGCATTTACTAAAGAAGCGAGCGTGTTCGACCTAAAAAGAAATGTAAGAGAAAAATAAATATGCATTCTTTTACAGAGGCATGTATGTACAAGGCTACGTTTTAAGTAATGATGATTTTGGTTGTGTTTCTATTTAGCATATAAAATATTTTATATGATAAAAAAAATACGAAAAAAATACGTAATTCTGAAGTTGATATTAATTAAAAACATGTTTGAGTTTCTGATTGACAATAGCTATGTAGTTTTAAGAGATCAGGTCTTCCAACAATCTGTTGGAAATCCCATGGGTAAAAACTGTTATTAGCAGACCTATTTTTGTAGTTATATGAAGCAGAATTTATTCAAAAATTTCTACATGAGAAGAAGAAAATACTTGCTGTGGTGTTCAACTCGACATTTAGATATATTGACGATGTATAATCAATTAACTGTTCATATTTGGATATTTAACATGGGAATTACTTTAATGGTAATCTAACAAGTTTCATGATAAACGTGATGACTTCAACTTTTCATTCGTCAACTTCCATTACTTATGTAGCAATATACAATTATCACTTGCATATGGGGTTGATGTCTCTAAGTTGATTCGATACGCAAGTGCACGTATAAGCAATTTGTAAAACGAGGCAGACTATTAACAAGCATATTGATGAAACAAGGATAAAAAAGTCTCATTTGAAGTCATCATTTCGAAATTTTTGGTCGACACAATAACCTTGTCAGCAAATACAAACTATTATTGAGTCCAATGCTGACTGACGTATTTCATAATTAGTCCATTCTTTGCAAACTGAATTGTCTACAGATTGTTTTTCTCCACCATGACAAGGAACATACGGCGGGTGTGACCGGTTGGCAGGGGATGCTCACTCCTCCATGGCACCTGGTCCTACCTCTGTTTTAGAGGTTTGTGTTTCCTCAGTCTGCTCCTGATTTGTATTGTTTGAATGGACTTTTGGGCTTGAATACTGATCATTATCTCCATATATTTCATGCTATGATTTTCTATTTTTCAAGGTCAGGAAAACATATACAGTGCAGGGAACTAATTTTGTTACATAAACCAGCATCAGCATAAGCATTAGTAGCATCAGGATCGAGCTAGCATCAGCATCAGCATTTAAAAAACAGCATTACCAAGATCAGCATCAGCAAGCAAAGGATAAAACCAGCATTGACCTACATAAAATCAGCATTATCCCACTAGCATCAGAAAATAAATGAGTTTTAATTCAGTAAAAAATTAAAAAAGAAAGAAAGAATATTGGTTAAAGTATTCACATTATTGATACATAGTGAGATATTATGATCAAATAATTGTAAAAGGCACTTTTATTGCTTTAAACGGCAATGCTGAAATTCATTATCTACTTCCGGTAGCATTGACCTAATTATAAAACAGCATCAGGATAAGGATTACTAGCATTAAATCAGCAAGCAAAGGAAGCATTCAAATCAGCAAGCAAAGGAAGCATTCAAATCGGCATTGATGCTGTAACAAAATTAGTTTCCTGCACTGTAATGAGCCTCACTTGCTTTGCAACGAAAATTAAAAAATCTAATTTGATTTAACTAATAACATCACTTTTTGATTCTATCCTTTGAATCTGTGAAAATTTCATCAATATATTTATACGAGAAAACCCCATCCTTAATTCTATTTTTGCTTCTCATCGATCAATAAATTACCACTTAAGATAACAAATAAATTTTTGATAATATAAAGTACTATTTGTATTTCAAGGACAAAGATATAACCTTCCATGAGATAAATTTTCTTCTTTTAATCCAATTTTAAGTGCATTATACAATTTTTTACAGAGCACAATTGCATTGATTATATTATTTTTCATCGACACATTTTTTGCATTAACTTTCATTCTTTTGTTCTCAAAAATTAATCTCAAAATACGTATTTGTTATGAAACAAATATTTAGCGAAGTAAATTTAACATACCCAAGGGTCATCCTCGACCTCCCAATTCCTCAATCCTCCTCCACAGAAAAAACACCGTGTGTTGTCCCCTTTACCATCGTAGAAGAATCCTGCCAGAGCCATGTCACGTGGGGCCTGTGCCTTAGATGGCGGCCATTCAGTAAAAGAACTGATTCTTTTTGATAAGATGGCGTAGTCTGGATACTTAGGGCGTTCAAAATTGATCCTCGTCGGTGCTTTTGACTGGATCTCCTTTGCTGGTGTGTTAGAAGCTGTAGAAGAAGTTTCACCTTTATGTTGATATCTTCCGGTAGTAGAAATATCACTTTGAATTCTTTTCGGGGGGTTCTTCATCTTTCGGCTTCTTTGATTTGAATCTACACCTTTACCGTACTGTTCCGATAAATGAGGAAAACAAACTGAAGTAATCTACTAAGCTTTTCACATTAATACAATAATATGTGACGATAGAAACTGTAAGATTTTTACTTAATATTGTTCAAAATTGTTTTACCTGCACCTTAGAAAACCTCAATGTACTAGTACTGTGTGAAAAGCAAGATAATTTTTCTGAAAGATGTTCATGATCGGGACTTTTCTCTGTTGGCAAAGTTTCTGTTTCCATGCTCTGAGAACGCTCAAAAGACTCTGTTCTCTTGTCATCAGGTAACTCATTTATAAACTTAAGATTTTCATGAGCAGAAACCTTTTCTTTACCTATGAAAAGTAAAATTTACATTATAGTTTATAATGGAATAATACACAATACAAACCTAGAACAAACAGAACTTTAAAGGACCATTTTCTATAAGGCCGTTTTGCGGCCTACAATGACTTCAAATTTTCAAGTAATATTTTTTCCCTTTAGAAACTGCATGAATCAGTAGGCTAATGATCCAGCTTAATGATAAATGTTGATTGGTTAATGAGGCTATGGTATTTGTTACGATATAAGGTCACAAAGTAATGTACTATCAGTCCGTATTAGCATAAGGGTAATGGGAAATCTCAGGAGGGTTGGCATGATAAGGCAACTCCTACACATGTCATAACCACCTTAAACCAACACCATAATTTACGTGTAAACTTTTTATAAACATAAAAAGTGACTAGCAAAATATGAACTTGGATTAAGGTGGTTAAGAAATGTAAATAAAAACTTTTTGCTTCATTTCTATGATATTTGTAGGAAAATCTAATAAATGAAAATGAAGGCTATCAGCTTATGTAGACTATTTCATATTCTAAACTTTCAGTTAGAGCACATGTTTCTGTTGAATAAACCAAACAAAATGTATGTCACGCATTTTTATTCGAAAAATGTCAACTTTTTACCAAAAAATCTAAAATAAAAGTACTGGAAAGACTGGAAGTTATGAAATTACACGTGAAAACAATATTTTTTAAATTGTCTGCTAGAAATAAAGAATTTTTTTTTACATACTCAGGTGTGAATACAAGTTTTTATTATAATTTTCATTTTCTAATTATCATAGTTTAGTTTATTTATGCTACATTTTTTGCATTTATTCCTTTGTAGCAACCCATCCTGTTAGTACTAGAAGTGATAAAAGATATTTATATTGTACTGAGAAGATACATTTGCTATTTGTTTTATTAACTTATTTTTCTATAGGTACACGGTCATGTAACTTTTATAGATAGGGAACTACTGATGGGATGGTTACATAATGGGAATTCTCACCTCAACTTTTCAGAAGGACCCTCATATTTTTTACGTATGAGTGACATAAGATCCAATATTTTCTGTTACCTGGATGTTGAGAGGACTCAATCTACTTGGATTCAGGAAGCAACAAACTTCTTTGGTAGCATTATTAGCTACAAGAACAGCAGTTCTGTCTTAAAGAATGAAATGTCAAGGGGGAGTGGGGTCCGTATTGTTACATGTGATTGATAAATGAGTGTTGCATTTTAGAATTTTTCACCCAAATGAAGAGATTATCCGCTGTAGGTGAATTTTGATTTATGCATGATTTCATTATTGACGCGACCTTCTTTTTTAAATAATATCCAAAAGACCCATGACTTTGACGCCGACGACTTAGCAAAGGAATAGTCACTAGCCGCGTTAAATGCCTTAGTTTTTGACACGGCACTGGGAACAAGAATTGAACCCTTAGGCCTCAAGGGTTCGAATCGATCATCAAACCCTTAGGGCCCATTTTGTACCTGAGATGTTAGTCCGTGGATATACTAAAACTTTTAATATGCATCATGAAAGGAGCTGTCAAAAATCTTCCCCGTTTTATGTAGTGCCGTTACAAGGGGACAGAAACTTGATTTTTACATATACATATGTTTATTATATTTTAGATAGCATTTTTAATTAAAAATATTGTTATACATAGGAAATGAAATGAAATCAAAGCAATTCTTACGTTGTTATCTCATTGTTCACAATATATTTTTAATACAGCTATTCTTAGTTTTCTATACTCACTACTCATATAATCAATCAACACGCACTTGCATTAATTATTTAATCCTGCACGTTAATGCATGTTAATGGAGTCTTTATTTTTTCTTAATTTAGAATCTATTTTATTTATACCAACTCAGTTTTTATTTAATCACGAACAAAAGTCCTTCAATGTTTTCAACAATTGATACACAACTGAGTGTGGTTAATAGATACTTCGAAACCATACGCAGTACAGTTAAGGCAACATTTTCTATTAAAAGGCACCAAAAAACGAGACACTTAAAGTTCAACCGTCTTATTTTTTAGTATGAAACTCTATCTGAAATATCTTAATGGCTTTATGAAGAGTTTGTCCATCGCTTTTCACATCGGTATTTTTTGTCATCATGTGACCCTCTACAGTCACGTGAGCTCCGATTTTAGGTCAAAATATGAAATGTCAAATTTAACCAAAAAGTGCAAGGGCAAGGCATACAATATTTGAACTGTACAATGTTTCATTGTGTCCCTTAGAATCTATTCTATCGAAAAACTGATGCTCATTCAGTCAGATTTCTGAGATATTTAAGTTATTCATTGAAAACAAACACCAGTATTCAAAAATAGGGTATTTTTCATCATTTAATCAGAAATTTTAAATTGCCTAATGAATTCTAAAGAAATGAGCATCACTTTTTAAAAACTATACAATAAAGTAAAGAATTTAAAATAAAAACCTACCTCTTGGGTTGTCGCCTTGCCCTTGCACTTTTTGATTAAAAATTGAAATCTTAACACAATCATTCTAAATATAGTTTTCAAACGCATCATTGACCCAGCATGGGAGATAACTCTGTGGTACTTAATAGAGTTTGTGTACCTCGCAAATTTTGAACAAATAATACCTACGGACTGTGCTGGGCTTTATTTCATTAAATCAAATCGGTATGCATAAAAAATCCTTGACTTTACTTTGTTTTGTATATCTTCGTTCTTTTATACGCTACACAAGACGTACATGTATTTGACACCTACCGCATTTCCTCCGTTCGTCAACAATAGGCCTAAAATTTGCCGCAACATCATGTAAATCAATTGGAAAATGCCCATGGTTAAAAATATTGAAAGATTCAATCATTTGTAATACAAAATAGACAGCCGCTATCAATGATAAAATATTTATTCTTCCCCATTAGACACACAGAAATAATATCTCCAACAGAACTTAGGTTTTTTTTTTTTTTTTTAAATACATGTGTGATTAATTTAGTTATCAAACCTTCAACTGTTTAGTGATTCTAGACTACGTTAAAAGTTTTAAGAACAGGAGGAAGGGACTGGGGTGCTTACTCCTGTATTTAATAACCTGTTTTCCTTTCTACAGATCTACCCCCCCCCCTTTCACCAATTTGCCTCTGGCTCCTTTGATACCATTTACCTTACTTGCATGTAAAAATAAATTATTAAACAGTGTTTACATCAGGTTTTACCTTTTTGGGTATTTAGCACAAATCACATGGGGGGGGGGGGGGGGCTTTAGTCTCATATTTTTGAGTTGTTATCAATCCATGCGCAAACAAGATAATCATAGTAAAACTTTGTAATCAAGAAACATAGCTGTTAAAGAACAGGTGAACACAATATACATGCTGAAATTAAGATCTTGTTGGTATCCAAAAGCACAGACAGGCGCGTAGCCAGAATTGAAGTGAAACGTACACAGAGAACGGCTGGGGTCCGCTTTGAGACCCCCCGTTGGTCCAGGGCGAAGCCCTGATGAGGACCTACATGTAGGGGCGAAGTCCCTGAAAGCTCATGGGTTTTACCAAATATTTCATTCAAAATCATGCCATTTCGATTTTCTTTAGAAAATACAAGACATAGTAATATTGTTTTTAACACAAAGTTAAATAATTTATAGTACCTGTAGAGGCTGAATATTTTTTAAAATGATATATTGGTATCATCTACTCTTTTTTAACTTTCAGCAACAAATATAATTAATTTCAATTATTAACAAAAATAATGTTATATTTCAAATCATATTCTAGTGGATCACAGCATTCAATGGTTAATATTTTCTCAAAGATCTTTTAAAAAAATTATCAATGTGTCGTAGAAGAATTACAAATTAATAAATGTTTTAATTGGTTGTGGCAATGATTTAATGAAACATTACAATTTCTTTTTATAAAGACATGGTAATATTAAATTTGAATTTGAATCGAAACAGTACGAGATAAAATAATTTGAAACACAAATATTCGCTGGGTGGTATTGATATTTTTTCTCTTTTCACAAATCTCTCTCTCTTACCCCCCCCCCCCCCATTTTTTAAATTTGAAAACGATGTGTACACATCTGCGTATTTGCGTATAGGCAGTTACGCACCTGTCAGAATACATTCAAGTAAAGATATTCAAATCTTAACAGCCTTCAAACTTTCACACCATTGTACTGTTAAAAATTCAAAGTATTATTTATCTAGAAAATTTATTTAATTAAAAACAGCTTTTCAAATTCAAAGGCAGGCTGTGAAGGGATTTCTGAGCAGGTGCAAAATATTTTAAAACAGTCCACAGTTCAAACAGTTCTTCTGGATGAAATCAATTCTGAAAACAAAATGAAATACCATTATGGAAAGTTCATTGGTGTTTTAAAAGAGTGATACTCAAAACAATGCATTGAGTAACATGGAAAGCATATACATGACTCTACTGTTTTTATTATCAAAACATTTCAATAATCTTGCTAGGAATATGTATGGTTTAGAGCTTATATGGAGCATACCTTTTTATTTTATTGGTGGAAACACTTGCTGCCTGAATAAATTGTTCAAATTGTTTGGGAGTAGCTACAACACAATATATATGTAATGAGTGAGAAACATAATGATTACTATTGTAGAATGAAATGACATTGCATTTTA